CCCAACAATTTTTCATAAAATGTCAGAGAATCCAATATTTTGAGGTAAAAGTAGATTTGTCATTTTTTAAGGCCATATGAATCTGAACGAGTTCATCAAGTGACTCTGAACAATGGAACATGTCTTTGAATACCAAGACATTCCCCTTGACAGAATGGTGAAACTAGCCGAGAACAAGTTAAAGAGACTGTGTTGTTCTGTTGGAAAAATTTAAAGGACTAAGCCACTGTGAGGGAAAAGGCAAGATCACCACCTGATCCAAAAGGAAATGAAACATATAGTGCAGGTACATACCAATTCATTACATACAAGTCATTCAAAACCTAGCTTCAAAAGTGGAGAGACAATATAACAACCCTTGATAAGAGAATTTGAGGATTTTCAGATATAGTCTACTTCCCCATTTGCCCCTATTGAGTAAATTCTAACATGTTAGAGAAGACTTTTGTGTCACTTCGGGATAACTATATGAAATCATTTGAGTAGTAAAATCAAATCAAAAGTGTACCCACCAACTGATGATCAGATAGGATAAATGAACCGCAACATTGGATTTTGCCTTAGGATTTTTATGAAAAAATCCTAAAATAGGATCCAGATTCTGCCAGAGAAGAAGAGGTCTTGCCTGTGTGGTTGTTGTTGAGGGTTGCAAAGTCTATCATGGATTTCATTCCTAAATTAATTCCTCCTTACAAACTTGTTTACAAGATACACTTGAATGAGTATGAGAAGCGAAAGAAGTCAATTATAAATTTGTTTGCTCGATGTTTGGTTCGTGAGGACACCCAACCAAATGCAGCTCCAGCTCAAGTTGTGCCAAAAAAGAATGGATACTTATTATATCAAGATTGTTTTGGAATGACAACAGCTACAAGATTGACATATCGAGTAGTTAGAGTAATTCCACCATTTTTAATGCGACCAGATTGGCATCATACTATGAGATAGAAGCTTTGATAGATGAGGTCTAGAAAAGGGGAGCATCTCTCGTTTCCGACGCAAGATGCACATGCACAGAACTTCCTGCGACCCGACTTCCGCCACTTGGACTAATCGATCTAGAAAATGGGAGAGTCAATCGGCTCCTCTTAGGTTTGGCGCATCCTTTCAACAGTGGGCCCAATCATAATTATCTAAGGAATAGATATTTACTTCATGTGTTTTAGGTCTTCAATTTTTCCCTAGTTATATCAAAGGGCAAGTGTTGCTCCGACTTTATCCCGTTCCGAGGTTGTGATTCCCTTCCAAGGGTTGAGTGGTGCTCCAAGTGCATCACATTCCCAAGGTTGTATTTATCACAACTTTCCCATCCCCCACAGTCCTTTCCAACTTGCTACCGCCTTCCTAGAAACCCCACCTACCTCTCACTCCTCTTGTTGTCATGCATTCCATAGCCCTTCATCTTCGTTATCACTCACTATCCCAGCCCTCCACTTCGTTGTTGTTGCTGCTCTAGACCTTCCAACTCACTTCCATCATAATTCCAACCCCTCCTTTGACATTTCCAACAACCCACAACACACCAGCCACCTATCACGACTCATCGACCACCTAGCCAGCTCGCACCACCCATGGATTGAACCCTAGTGTGAGTTTGTGTTATGTTGTTGTATTTCCCATTTCAGTGTGTGTTTGGTTGCACCTGCATATTTGGGTTTTTAGTAATAATATTTGTATTCACATTGTTATTTGGGTTAACTTTGATATCAAACATATTACATCACACATGTCATCACGTTTATACTTGTCATCATAAACATTTCACTTAAGAAAGTAATAGGATGTTCTCCTTGATTCAACACAGCTCAATTTTCAAATTAAAAGCACCATACTCTACCTTAAACACTTGGCTAAAATCAGGAAGTGCCAGAACAGAGGTCTAAGTAGCATATCTTCAGAGCATCAAAATTAGTCTATGCCTCATTTAACAAAGCAAATCTATTTGATTTAAGAAGCACCATGAAAGGTTTCACGATTGACCTGAAATTTTTTTAAAATTTTCAGTAGAAAAAAAAAAAAACAATCCATGAAATAGGTGTATCTTAAGTAAATGACTAAGGTTTGGGGCATACCACAATAGTCTCAATCTTTGTTAAGTCTTTAGGCCTGTAGCTGAAACAATGTATCCTAAGATACACATATGCAATGTAAGAAAGTAATATTGTTTTCCAGTGATCATACAACTTCACTGTTCGGAGAACAACAAAAAACTATCATAAATAATATAAATGCTTCTCCTTTGAAAGCAAAATATTGACCAAGTATACAATCACAAATTTTCCAATAAAAGCCTAAAAGCCTAGTTCATCAACTGCATAAAAGTGTTTGGTGCATTGAACATGCCAAAGGGCAGAACTGTCACTGATACAATCTCTCATGTATTAAAATTTATCTTCCAATCATCCTTTTGTCTTATCCTGATTTTGTGATAACCACTATGCAAATTAATTTTGATATAACTAATTGAGAAAACCGTCCTATCTCGGAATAGGAAATCAATATTTGATGAAAATTTTGTTCACAACCCAATTATTTATAGCATCACCAAAGTCAGTTCCACTAGAGCCTCTCATAGCCTATAAAAATATGGCATGAGGAACTATAACTCGTGCCTATGTCTAAATACTAAACACAATTGACTCTTTGAATGGCAGAAGCACAATATGCTTTTCAACTATGATAAATGAAAACGTGTTCTTGTGGCCATAATAAAGTGGACCCTTATCATAGGCACATCACACCATACCTGATTCGCCGGTTATCTTTACATGAAAATTCTACTAAAAATCTTTTGTCGAAATTGATCTCATTCCATTTCTTCAACCAAATCAAAGAATATGATTAAGAATACTTCTGAGTAGTAAGTATAATTTTTTCACCGTCTCTTTGGATCACATTATCACAACTGCCTCTATCTATAATGAATATGTGTTTTTCCCTTCACAGTGCAACAATATACAAAATATATGGTGCCTAAACCACTGTTGATCCTTCTTATCGGTCTAGAGAGCTTGTCAAACCACAAGTATCTCACTGTCATCTGCAAGTAGCTAGGTACTCTCCTATCCCCTCTCTTGGGTCTTCACCCTGCCTCCTCTACTGCACCCTGCTCAATAAAACAAACCACTCACTTATTTGGGTAGTTAGATGCAATGTGCCCATATCTATGACACTTGAAATACCTCCTGGTCAGAATGCTTTGAGGATGTTGGCATCAGATGAATCCTCTTTTTATCGTGTGTTGGCTTCTCCTCACGAAGAATAGGACTTGGGTCTCGGGTGAGTATGATCTTGATGTCTAATCCAGTGGTTGAGTCTTATTTGAAGGGTAGTGTGGATTTTATTTTGTTGTGATGTGTTTCTACATTCAAGATTTGGACATCCTAAAAAATCCCATAGGGTTGTAAATGCAGCATGTTGCCAATTGTCGGTCTAAATCCTCTAAGATACCAGGCTAAGGTGTTCTCCTTGGACTTCAACAAATCACATCTTATCATAAGTTGCTCAATCTCTATGATATACTCCTCTATTGAGAGGATATTGGGCTGTAAGTGATAATGTTTCAAGAATATGTCATGTATGTAATGTGTTGTGCTGCATCTTTTACTTTATCTTGGACCCAACAATGATCATACATTTCCCCCATGCTAACTTAAGTATTTCAGATCCTCCCACCACAAGAAAACATTTTTTTTTCAATTTGATAACAGTAAACTTCACTTTCCTATCAAATGAAACTTCCTTGCACTTCAAGTCTTGTTTCATAGTTTAGAGCCACTTAATAAACTCAACCAAATCCATACGACTATCAAAATCAAGCAAATCAACCTTCACTCCAACTTCCCTCTCTCCCCCCTTATACTCAATGTCAAACCAAACCGACATCGACTTTTCATTGCTTGAAACTTTTCGGTGAAAAGAGTCTTCATCATCTTTCTCCCTTTGAATGATCACCATTGTTAATGTGGATGACTTTACCATACGATTCTATGTTGCAATTGAATGATTTTCCGCTAAATATACTTCATAGTAAACTCGTGAATACCTCGTTGAGGGTTTCTTCTTAGTGGCATAGTAACTTACTCCTCATTTTAAGGCTTTGGATGATGTTGGATTGTATATTAAGGGTTGGCCGACAGTCTAGTATTAGGTGTTTGAAATCGTGACGAATTTTTGGAGCAGGTTGGAAGGTTAGCATTTGAAAGTTGATGTTTAAGGCTAGGAATTGAGGTAGAGATGGTTAGGGCATTGAGTTGGTGGAAGGTTTAGGTTATGTGAATTTTAGGTTTCGGAGATGGAAAAGAAACAAATCCCTAAAGATTTAGAGTTTGTTGGGCTCTCATATCAAATGACACCATTCTAAATTTCATAGAAGATGCATGCTAATAGAAGTGTTGGGAAAGTTAGACGGTAGGTTGAAAGCATGGATAAGGACACACGACAAGGATTTGAAAGGACAAATGCAGTAGGTTGCTGTTTGGAAAGGAAAAAAAAGTAGAAACAGAAGGAGAATATGCTATTCTGTGAGGGTATGTCGTCGACAGCATTCGACCACCTAACTCATTCAAGCTACAGGCCCATCACTTGAAAGAGAAAGGATATAGCACTCCTAAACTGAGAGAAATGATGAGAGGAAACTAGAATCATCACAAAACCAAGCAAAACTGTTCAACTAGTTCAAGAATAAAACAAATATAGTCACAACGTGGTGGGATCACAGGAGTCCGCTCCTATCTCATGAGGAGAAGTGAAATTTGTTATTTAGGATGCTATAAATTGATAAGGTTATCATTGAAGTGAATGCAATGAAAAAGTAAAAATAAGGTTTTGCCAAACATAACTATAGGGAAACAGTTCTCACCTCCATATAACGCACAAGAAAGCCTGATTTTCTTTGGAGAATAACTGCAAATTTTTTATGAAAAATATTCAGAAATTTGAAAATGATTTATACAAATCAACAAGATAATAAAGGCATAAGCTGGAAGCCTGTACCAGACCTCTTTCAGATCCAACGGATGATGGAAGTTTAACGCATGGAAAACAGTCAATTTTATTATCATCAGTCCTCAAAATGTCAAATATGATAAGCGCAACAAAAGCTGTAACTTGCAAAATAAAGTTCAGAAAAATAGCCAACGCTGCAAGAGAAAAAAAATTTATAGGTTCATATTTTTATGTTGATAATGGCCTAGGAAAAACAAAAACTTCGAGGGAGAATTTCACCAGCAAACATAGAGAAGACACGAACAGCAGGCATTGGAATAAAACTTCCAACAGCAAAGGCAATAACTTCGGACAAACTGGCCAGGGTTATAGAGGGCCCAACTTCCACAAGTGCATTGCTTATTTTCCTATCTAAGGACATATCAGTTGCTTGGCGCTTGACAGCATGCACAAGAATACACATATTATCCACTCCAACCTGCGACGGATATGCAAAATAAAATATAGACATTAAGAGACTAACACGAAGAACAAGAAAACAAATAATAAAAATTGAAAGGAATAAAATCAGTAAAATGAAAATGATAGAAACGAGATAAGTTTCCACAGAAATTAGGTCATAAATAATAGATTTTATTCCGCCGGTACCAATTTAAAATAATACACTCATGAATACATAAAAGATAAACCTACGATTAGAAAGGTAAGCAATTCTCTCACAAACCCTAACCCTAAGATTCAAGACAACAATCACATAACCTTAAACATATTAAGCTCTATTTATACCCCACAATAATAACTAACAAATGATTAGATTTAACTTACAGTCTTGCGCCTAGCACAAGTCTTCAAATTATTTGACAAGCTCAATGCCGACTCAATGGAGCACGAAGCGGACTATGTCGTATACGTCGTCTAACATTACTCTCCAGAAAAAACAGTGATTGGCATAATTACATCGCATATGTGGCATGGTCACACCGTCTAATGACCCGCTTCCGGGCGTGGCCATACTGGCATTACCTGAGAAGCAGAATGAACCAGTATGACCACGCCACTTTCAGGCATGGCCACACCAGTTCACGACCCCACTTGAACAGCATGTTCACAAGCCTTTTAATGCACGAAATGCTTCCTATTCATCATCTCCTACTTCGTCTCCCACCTGTAGCAACTGCGTCCTTTTTTTCTAGACCCTCTAGGATCACCGAAAAAGCTCATTGAAACTTCACAAGATTTATAGGGAAGATAGATCAGATCGTAGGAGAGATCCTCGCATCTTTTGCCTCCAATATGCCTTCATTTCCTCTGATTTCGTTTTTTAGCGGGTGGTCGAAATTTTGCTACTCTCCTTGAGATCTTCTTCCTCACTTGCTCTTTGATCCATATTTTTCATCTGATTTAATTTTCATAGCTAATACTTTATTCACGGATCATACCAAATGGACATGTTTTAACACTGCCAGCACCAGTGCACCGATCCCATCAGAACTCCGCAGTTTTAACACTGCCGTTGCCGGTCCCAAGCCCGGATGAGAAAAGTGGAGGGTTGCGTTAGGTAGTCGACAGCCAGCGTAAAACTTGTCGAAAAAATCATGACATGAATCCTTTTGATCATTGTGTAAGTGCTAGGGCGTCCCCTGGAAGCGACGCGCTGTATAGCCTGAATACAGTGAAAAGTGTGCAAGGGCCGCTACACCGGCGCCCGGGTGTAGTGTTAAATAAGCAAGGGTTCCCACATTACGGGCGAATGCGGGTAAAGAAGTTAGTCCATGAAACTAATGAAACTAATATTAGGATAGGATCTTGGAATATAAGCACTCTCAATGGTAAATTAATGGAATTAGTTGATATTATGATTCATAGGAAAATTAATATCTTATGTATTCAAGAAACTAAGTGGGTGGGAGAAAAGGCTAAGGAGATTGATAATTTAGGTTTTAAACTTTGGTATTCTGGTAAGAGTCGCACTAGAAATGGTGTAGGTGTAATTATAGATAAGAGTTTGAAAGATAATGTTGTAAAAATTAATAGAGTTGGTGATAGAATTATAGCCCTTAAGATTATCATTGATACTAAGATTTTTAATATTATAAGTGTTTATGCTCCTCAAGTAGGTTTAGATACAGAGTCTAAAGATAAATTTTGGAATGACTTAGAAGACTTAATACAAATGATACCTCTTGAAGAAAGAATTTTTATTGGAGGAGATTTAAATGGACATGTCGGTAGAGTGGTAGAAGATTTCAGAAATATTCATGGTGGCTACGGTTTTGGAGTAACTAATGAAGAAGGTAAAGTTATTTTAGATTTTGCTTTAGCGTTTGATTTTGTTATTACTAATACTTTATTCAAGAAAAGGGATGAACATCTTATTACTTATAAGAGTGGATCTAATAAAACACAAATTGATTATTTTCTTATGAGAAGAAGAGATCGTCG